GCCAGCGGGAGCTTCGCTCGCCCCGCCCCGCCCGCCGCGGGGGCGCCGCGGCTCCCGCGGCGCCGCGGCTGACGGAGGCGCCCCCGTGCCGGGGGGGGAGCAGGCGGCGGCGGCGGCGGCCGCGGCGGCGGCCGTGGCGGCGGCGGCAGCGGCCGACGGCGGCGGCGGCGGCGGCGGTGGCGGCGACAGCGGCGGTCGCGGCGGCGGCGGTCGCGGCGGCGACGACGAGGACGGTCGCGGCGGCAGCGGCCGGGGCGGCGGCGCCGGTGGCGGCGGCGGCAGCGACAGCAGCGGCGGCGGCGGCAGCGATGGGCCCTCACGGAGGACCTTTGCGGCCGCATCGATCCCGCGACGGGGGAAGTTTTCGCGAGTCTAGAGGGAGCTTTTGTTGGATCCTGAAGGTGAACTCGCCTCCGGATACTTTTCAGCAGCTACGCCTCGCCGAGAGCGTTCCAGGGGTGCCAGAATCGCGCCAAACGGCCGCATGAGGCCCGAGGTACGCCCTGAGAGTCCAGATCTCTGACGAGCAGTTGTTGTTCAAACCCCAGATCCTGGTGTTGTTCCTAGATCGGAGCCTCCAGGGCCCTATCAGGCCCTGGCACTACCCGAAACAGATCTGGGTCTCGAAACTACGGTCGGACCGAGGTATACGATCAAGGTCGGTTCGGGGAGGGTACCCTGATGTTCTTGTGTGTTGTCGTGTGTTTTTGTGTCTCCTGGGGAGGGTACCATTGGATGTTCTATGTGTTTTGGCCGGCGCAGGGATGTTCTTCTGTCCTGGGTCCGACCGCACCTCTGGGGAAGCGGTTGGCCACATCATCGGACGTCTGGCACACTGGCGACGGCAGCTACGACGGATCTTGAGGAATGCGCGTGGGGCCGGAGCCCGAGAGGCAATCGCCCGCGTGGCGAGGGAGGGATCATTCACGGGAGTTCCATGGGAGCTCAAACATGGCCCGTGCTACCTGTCCTTCCCTTGGTTGTGTTCATCTTGTACTTTTTCCTTTTCCTCAAGCTCGGATTGGCGGCGCGAGGATTCACGCAGCGAAAGCGCGCGGGTGGCTGCGGGGCGTGCCGCGACTGTTCGAATGTCGTTGCTCAGTCCGCTGGTTGTCCAACTCGTTTGTCAATCGGTAGCCCAGACCGAACTGGAGACGGAAGGGCAGGATTATGCATGGAACGTTCCCCAGGGGGCAGTCCCCGCGGCCCCACCTCGCTCGGATCGGGGACTCCGTGGGCTCGAAAAATCTACCGCGAGGGCCTTACGAGGCCCTGAGTGGGGCTGGGATGCGTCCAAAACGTTCGAAGAATTCCGAAAGGGCTCCCATACTGCCCGAGGCCTGGGAGGGCAGCTGACAGGGGCCGCCAGCGGACCCCCCAAAAGGGCAAGATTCGTCTAGCGCACTGGTTTGCGCAACGCAATGTGGGGTTCGGGGGTGAAAGGGGCCCCCCTGCAACATGGCAAACAATAAAACATGAAGATGATGGCTGGTTTTTTCCTGGTTGCCTCATACCTCGCGGGCGTCTTACCATGCGTTAAATCATTGGCGCAATAGCGTCTGAGCAGTACCTCTGGCAAGGTCATTGCGGCCCTGGCACGCACGCGCGGGCGAAGGAGCGAAATGGGGCGAAGAAGGTATGGCCGTAGTCGAGCGTCTGGGTGGCCGCCAGTTTTCGCCAGTGCAGCTCTGCGAGCACGTCGCGCCACTTTTTCCGATCAGAGTGGCTCGGCATCCGCCCGCCGCACCTGCGGCGGACCCAACGCTTCATCACAGACCACGCGGATTCAATCCCACTAGTGGTGAAACCACGGGGGTTTTGGATCTCGCCCGCGGAGTGCACCGTCAGCTCGTGCTCGATGCCCCTCGCAGTCCCCTTGCTCTTCATGAGCGCCCTGCGCGCGGACACCGTGGCCTTCCAGGAGTCGCTCACCAGGATGGTCCCTTTGCGCATGCCGAGCAAGTGGAGGTTGGTCAGCATCTCCTGGTGCCCGCGAGGCTTGCCATCGAAGGCGTCGTTCGGGTGGGTTAGGATGTGGAAGAATTATAGGTCGGGGCGGCCCTGCACCGTTGCGCCCCAGACCCAGGCCTGCTCTTTTGGCGGACGGCTGCCCTCTGGAGAGCGCCAGGTTTCTTCTTGTTGAGGTGCGCCTCGTCCACCTGCACCGCGAGCGTGAATTTGGATACGTCGGCCTTCTTGGGCAGCGCGATGCCAGCCTTCTTCCTCTGTGCCGCCGCCTTGTTCGTCGTGCGCGTTGTTGGAGACCTGGCGGGAGGACCCGGTGTCGAATTCGGAGCAACCCCACCGAGCCCAGATCGCGGCGTCTTCCTCGCTCGGGTTCAGGAAGGCTTTCAGGATGGACGCCGACATATCAGCCAACCGGCGTCGTCAAAGATGGCGGGCCTGGCGCGGGTCGAGGAATGCAAGTGCCTGGTGGTTACGATCGTCGGGGCAAGCTCCCCCGCTTCGCCTTCTCCAGACTGCTCCAGCTCATCGATCTCCACGCGGCCCATCGTGAAGGCCAGGGTCTTCGACCCAGCGCTCTTCCCGACGCGAGCCTTGCCAATCCACGCCACGCCGAAGGCCCTGAGGGTGGAAACCAGGATGGGCTTGATCATACTGTTGCGGGACCAAGGGTCGAAAGCCGCGAATCGTCAATACCCAGATCTCCAGGCGAAAGGCTGCGACCCTGCCTTCCGCATTATGGTTGGGGGCCCTCTTGATGCGACTCTCCTGCCAGCCAAAGATGGGAGATTCTGGCCACGAGCTCTTTCCGATATCACGAACTCCATGAATTGGTTGGCATTGTTGGTGCGCGGCCCCTTATCACGCATGAACTTGTACTCTGCCTTCTTGAGCTCTCACTCGGCCGTCTTCCTGGAAGCACCCCTGCCAGCCTTGAGGACCACGGTGAAGTGGCGCAGCTGGTGGCCCTCCAGCTTCTCCAGCATGTTCTGCACGGTCAGGCGGCCGACCCTAAACTGGTTGCAGTGGCGCCATGTCAGACCAGTCCCGCGTCACATCTGAAGGCACGAGTCAGTCTTGGCCGGCACCCCCAGGAGGTTCACGCCCTTTGAGGTGTCGTGATTGCCGTCGGGCTTCCTGACAATGAACACCTGCACGGGGTGCTGGCCAGGCGGCTTCTTCTTCAGGGAGAAGGGCTCGGGCATGCCCTTGAAGTCGCACGCCTTTGCGCGTTCGTGCAGAGTGTCCCAGGGGACCTCGCCCTCGTAGTCGCCCAAATAATCTGCGAAATACTGGATCATCTCGCCGGATTCCGTCCCGAGGTGCGCGGGTGGATCCCCCCAGCAAGTTCCTCTGGACCGCCTTTATGTTTATTTGTTGTATGTTCGTGTTGTTGTTGGTGTTGTTGTTTTTGTTGGTATTGTTCCTAGGGTTTTGCTTGATTCTGCTCCGTAAGAGGATGCTGCCTGGGATGGAAAGAGCCTCCCCCCCAAGCAAGTTCCTCCGGATTTGTTGTTCTGGTCTGGCTTGTTTCTATTCCGTAGGAGGATCCTGATTGGGATGAAATGAGGAGGAGGAATGCGAAACAAAAGAGGAAGAGGGAGGAGGAGGGAAAGGATGAGGAAGATGGAAGAGATTTGAGTGGTTGACGCCCGCTGTCATGTTGCAGGGGGAGGGCCCTTCTCACCCCGCAGCCCAATGTGGTTATGGTTGGTAGTTGTATTGTTGTTGCTACGGTGGGTGCAAAGTGCTGTTGACGTTGTCGCGTGTGCTCCGCATCACGCAATGGACTACAGACACAAAGGCGCTCGAGTCCGGGCGGCGGTGCGAGCTTCGGTGGTCCGCGGCTACACCGTGCGAGGTATTGTTTTGAGGCTGTGGCTGAGGCATGGAGGCGCCAGGTTCGTCATATGCGCGGCTATTGATCGAAGAAGAATAAACGCCATAAATACAAACTTTTGGTGCTCCGCGCGGATTTCTTGGATCCGCGCTGGGGCCCGCCCCCTGGCGGCGCCTCCGGCGCCGTCCCTGGCGCGGTCCGCGCGCCGGGGAGTGGGGTCCAGCGCGGATCCAAGAAGTCCGCGCGGAACGCCAAAGGTGTATGTTTATAGCTTTTTTCTTTTTTTGTTAAGGAGTAGGCGTTTCGGGAGTGCTCGCATGGGTTATGGGAGTGCGCCTGCGTGTGCCCTGGAAGTTCCGCCTTGGAATCACAAGCAGTGTCAACAGAGATCCGTGAGGCTGACGCCAACGCCGTGTAGGAGCGGAAGCTGGCTGGTGAATTGCAGGAAAGGGGTGGGGACCTGGAGACGCTGGGCTGGGCGCTGGGCCGGGCAGTGACAGGGAGAGAGGTGGTCAGAGAGAGACGAACAAAACAAAACGAGAGAGAGAGAGGGAGGGAGACGGATAGGTGTACATATGTATATATATACATATAAATGTATATGTATATATATATATATATGAATGTGTGTATGTATGTATGTGTGTGAATGGAAGGCGATCGGCAGAGAGGGAACTAGACAGCCGGGGAGAGCGTTATAGAGAAAGAGAGGGAGACAGAGAGAGAGAGAGAGAAAACGAACAACATACTATGCAAATAAAGAAAAATGAGAGAGAGAGCGAGAGAGAGAGAGAGAGAGAGAGAAAGAAAGAGAGAGAGAGGGAGAGAGACATAGAGAGAAAGAGAGCGAGGCATGGAGGGGACGTTGTTGTGTATTGCTCGCGCGCTGGGTTCCGCTCCTGGGGATGCTCCCGTTGGTTCTGCTGCCGCAGAGGTTGTCGCCGATGCTTCCCCCCCAGCAGGTATTGGTGACAATCGCCTCTTGGAGCCCTCCCGCTTCTCTTTGGAGAGGAAGCTGTCTTGGGGCGTCTGGGGCTTGGAGCTCTCCCGCGGCTTTTTGGGGAGGGGACTGGGGGCACCTGTGGCTCTGTTGGGGCGTTCGAGGCTCCTCCTGGGATCACTTCGGGGGTCTCTCAGGGCCCTCTTGGGAGCTCTGGGAGACTCTTGGTGCCATGTTGCACAGGACCTTTCACACGATTGGGGTGAACGATGGAAGCGGGAGCGAAACAGCTTCTCAGGCTTGTTACTGGCTCTGAGCAAGGCCCCCCGGGGCTCTCGGGAGGGGCCCGAGACGGGCGAAGAATCGGGGGCCCCCCAACGGGGCGGTAACCACACCGTGCGGTGAGTCGGTGGGGATTCGGGGTCACCGCACGGTTTTGGGATTCGGGTCGTTCTCCGAGAACGTCTCGGGCGACAGGGGCCTCTGGGGTCCCCAAACCGTGCGGTGACGGACCGTGCGGTGAGGTCTCTTGGGGTTCCGAGGTCACCGCACGGTCTGTCACCGCACCGTTCCGGGACTCCAAAGAAGAAGGTGCCGAGAAGAGGCCCAGACGGCCGAGGACTGCGCCGCGAGGTTGTCGGGACGGCATCGGAGAACATCCGTAGGTTCCAAGATGCCCGCAATTGCCCGCGGAGATGCACGGGAGCTCCAAGAGCAAGGGCGCCCTCGAGGGCGCGAAGTCATTCGCGCTTCGCGGTTGGCGCCGATTCCTCCTTCTCTTCCTCTTCTCCCCTGGGAGGAGGCGGCGCGAGAGCGCGAAGTTATTCGCTTTTCGCGCTCCGCGTAGCGCGAAGCGCGAAATCCGGAGCCCCTGCAAGAGAGGCGGACGGAGAAGCCCGAGATGGCCAGAATAGTTAAAGTCCCACGTGTTGTACTATGCTCTTGGATTGTTGGGATGAGTGGGGACATAAGACTTCAAGAGATGTGACAAATGACATCCAGAAAGGCCAGAGGTGGACCGGAGGACCGTCCACATCAGCCGAGAGGAGCCCGGGGAGGTCCCCGAAACCAGCCCAGAAGGTTCCTGGAGAGGTCTCCAAGCCAAGAGGACCTGGCGGCGCCCAGACACCCAGCGCGTGACAAGAGGCGTCGTTTTGGGACGGAATGGTGGCCAGAAAGCGCCTCGGGGCGCAGCTGTAGCCCTCGGGCCGGCGGAATGAGCGGGTTCCGTGGAGGACCCTTGGAGGGGTGGTGAGGGCTCAGAGGCAGGGGTAGGTACGAACAGCGCGCTGTTGAGAGGACTTTCAGAAAGCGTACTTGGAAGACCATGCTGTGGATCTCACACGCCGTGCCTGGTGGGGCGGCGGATCGTTTCGCTGATCCCGCCGGCCCAAATTGCACCGCTGTTGCTATATGTTGGTGCGCCCACTGCGGCCGAGAAGGGGGATAGCCGACTTGAGAGGGGACGGTGAGGAGGAGGAGGCGGAGGAGGAGGAAGAGGAGGAGGCCTCTCGGCTTTTTGGATCACTGTTGGGACCAAACTGGCTCGTGGACAAGAGACAAGACGCCTCCTTGGAAGGTTTCTTCGGGTTTTTTCGGGGGCCTCTCGGGGGCATCTTTTCGACAGTCATGAGGCCTCCTGGGGCCTATTGGGGGCCCCTTGGGCCATTCGTTTGGGCTTCTGGGGGCCTCCTGAGAGCTTCTGGGAGGCCTGCTGGCGGTCCCGCGGGCCAGCTCTGGCGAAAGGCTTGATATGTCCATTCGGGTTCCGCCTCTTGGGGCCTTCATGGGAGCCTCTGGAGCCCTCCAGGGAGGCTTCTTGGGCCATCTTGGGGCCCTCGTGGCCGTCCTGGGAGCCCCCTGGGCTGACTTCCTCTTGTGCCATCCCAGGCGGTCGAAAGCTTGAAAAGGCGGTCCTGGGATGATGGAAGCGACGACGCGACGATGACGACGACGACGACGACGACGACGGCGAAGATGGCGGCGGCGGCGACGGCGGCGGCGGCGGCGACGACGACGACGACGGCGGCGGTGGCGACGACGACGACGAGGAGGACACCGCCGGCGGCGACGACGGCGACGAAAGCCACGGCAATTGCCCACCACGCCGGCGACGCCTGACCCACGCCGATGGGATCTCCTGCGGTGCGAGGTCCCGTGGGTCCCGACCGCTCCCCCCGGGGGGCAGCACTCCGTCCCGGAGCCATTGTCGGGGGGCCCGCGGGGCCCGAGGAAAGGGCCCCCCGCGAGGCCGGCCTCGAGGAGAACCGCGGGGGGCCGGGCGGATCATTTCGCCAGAGATCTCTTCGTCGTCGTCGTCGCCGTGACCGTCGCCGTGGTCGTCGTCGTCGTCGTCGCCGTCGAGGCCGTCGCAGCTTCCGCCACCTTCGCCGTCGCCGTCGTCGTCGTCGTCGTCGTCGTCGTCGTCGTCGTCGTCGTCGTCGTCGTCCGCGGCGGTGAGCCGCAGCGGCGGGCCGCCCCCGACCGAGGCGTCGCTGGCCGCGGCGGGCGTCGGGCTCCCCAGCGCGGGGGCCATCGAGAGCGAGCTGCGGAGCCCGGGCCGCCGCCCGCCGCCCGCCGCCGTGGTGCCCGTGGCCGCCGTGCCCGCCGTGCGCGCCCTGGCCGTGGCCGCCGCTGCGCCCGTGGCCGCCGGGGTTGTGCTCGCCGTCCCCGGCGTGGCCGCCTTGGCCGTGGCCGCCGTGGCCGTGGCCGCCGTGGCCGTGGCCCAGGGGCGGCCCAACCGACCCCAGGAACGTGCGGATTCACCATCAAGGGCCTATCGCCTTCCTATCGGCGATGCATCGCCGATTCCGCGTCGACATTTTCCCCCGTATGCCTATCCCCCGTGTATCGGTACGATCGGAATGGTCAGGGGCGGCCTAACCGATCCCTTGCAAGCCATCCCCTTCTCTGACGTCCCGTTCGCCTCGGCTCATGACGTATGTGTGCGGCTACACCTGGACGGCTCCACTGCGCGTACCTTTGCATTCCGCGTATTGGGCCTCGGCAGCGCCCGTGGATGCACCGACGCCGCGGCCCGGCCGCTGCCACGGTTCCCGCTGCCGCGGCTGGCCGCGCCAGCGCATTCAGGATGAAGTCTTCCGCCCCTGAGGGCACCCCCCCTCCCTCGCTTCCGCGGCTGCCTTGTCTGTCTCAGTCTTTCCTCTTGCATGCTGGGCAATTCGCCCTTCGGTAACCCCGTTTAGCCCGACCTCTGGTGCAGTAGCTCTGCTGCGCCGCCGACGTAAAAAGTGCGCGGGCTGAGGTGGAGCTGAAAAGCTAGGGTGTCGTCGCGAAATGGGACGCTTCGTCGCAGGAGCGTATGATTCGAGTGCGTCAGAACACGGGTTTGCCGACACTTTTTGACGAGCGCGTCGTTGATGCCGGCAGTCGAATATTCGTGGGATGCTTGCTGCGGGAGCTCGCGTCAAGTTGTCAGATTGGGCCTCGTCATTTCCATGATGGCTGGCCGACCCCGGTCTCCCGAGCCCGAGGCTCACGCCTCAGGGAGGAGGGAGGAGGGAGGAGGGAGGAGGGAGGAGGGAGGAGGGAGCCCGAGTTTGCGGGGGGTCGGTCGGGCCGCGCCCGGGTGGGTCGCCGCCGCTGCCCCGAGACCGTCGCCTCGCCAAGACATCCCCGGGGAGGGTGTTGCGGCTCCTCCCTCGGCCTCCGGGGGCCCCGGCTGGCCCCGGAGGCCGCCGAGGGCGGCTCGGGGCGCGAAGCAGGACCCGTCACTGTCTCGGAGAGGCCTGCCGGCCGGTGCCTCCGACCCCGATCGAAGGGGCTATAGGCTATAGGAGGGGGGGAGGAAGCGAAGGAGAAGGAGGAGGAGGAGGAGGAGGAGGAGGAGGAGGAGGAGGAGGAGGAGGAGGAGGAGGAGGAGACAGGGACGAGCACGAGGAGGAGGAGGAGGAGGGAGGAGGAGGAGGAGGAGGAGGAGGAGGAGGAGGAGGAGGAGGAGGAGGAGGAGGAGGAGGAGGAGGAGGAGGAGGAGGAGGAGGAAAACCTCCTCGCGACGCCCTCCAGGCTTTCTGCGTTTTGTGCTTGTTTGTGGCCTCGGACCTCGGGGCCAGCCGTGGCCGTCCGTGGCCGCCGCGGTTCGGGAAGGCAGCGTTCGTGGGCAGTGCCCGGGGAGGCAGGGGGGTTGCTGTGGTGCGGTCGGGCCGGGGTAAATTGCAGGCGGATAGACCTCCTACCCTGACACGTCGATTGAGGAATTGGCCGTTTTCGGTTCTCCGTAGCCATTTGGGCTCAAGCCATTTTGGCTCAAGCGTTCGCACGGCCGCGCCTCCTTCCTCCTCGCGGGTCCGAGGGATGGCGCAGCCTAGAGGGGCTTGAACGCCGCCACCCGCCGCCGCCGCCCTGGTGGAGGCGGCCGTGCGCGGCGCCGTGCTGGGCGGAGCGCCGAGGCGCACTGTCGCGGCCGTCGCGCGGTCCGCAGTCTCGGCTGTCCTGTTCAGGACGGGCGAGGCTCCCGCGCCACGTGCTGACGGTGCCGTTCGCGCAGCTCCCGACGTTGCTCCTCCTGACCCTCGCCCCGCTGGTCGCGCTGGTGCCGCGGCCGCCGACCCCGCGGCACGTGCCGCGAAGCGTCGGCGGCGCCGCCAGCGCCGTGCGGCGAGGAAGGCGGCGGGCGGTTCTCCTGTTGCCGACATGGAGGTGGAAAAGGAGGACGAGGTCCTTGCTGGTGTGGTCCCTGTGGGGCCCGCAGCCGCTGCGGCGGCTGGCGGTGATGCGGGCGCGGCCGCCGTTGGCGGGGACGGAGTCCTCGATGACGAATGGGCCGGTGGGCTCGTTCGTGGTGGTGTTGCTGGGCGGTGTGTCGCTCCTCGCTTCGCTGCTGCGGTGCCAGCGGCGTCTGGCGGGGCGGCGATCGCGAACGGCGACGAGATGGCGGCGGCGCTGGGCGGCGCTGCTGCTGCTGCTGCTGCTGCTGCTGCTGCTGCTGCTGCTGGTGCCGCTGCTGCCCTCGCCGGCCCCGGGGCCGACGCGGAGGGCGTCGAGCGGAGGCGGGCGCCCCCCGCGCGGGCGGCGGCGATCATCGGCTCCGGCGGGCGGTGACCGCCTTCGTAGCCTTCGGCGCGCCAGGCCGCCTCCTTTGGCCCTGGTGCGTGCTAGGGCCAGTCGACTCTCCAGGCCGCCTCGTCCTTCTTCTGGATGGCCCTGGTGTCTGCCGTGCGCGAGCCTCGTGCTCGCTCTTTGTCATTCTATGCCTGATATGGGCTGAGAGAGGTCCAGCAGGTCGCCCTGCTGGAGCGTGCGGCGCCGCCTGCCACACAGCTCGTGCACTTCAGGCAGTGAGGGCGTTGAACTTAATAAAAAGGCCGTTTTCGGTTCGCGAGAGGGCGTCGCGGCCGTCATTTTTGCGGGTCCAGGTCCGTCGGTTTCGGTCCTGGGCCGTTTTCACTAAAGGGAGGTTCACTACAGGGAGGTCTGTCCACCGCCGACATGTGGTCGAGGTCGGTTCGGGGAGGGTGATTCCCCTGATGTCCTTCGTGTTTGTTGCATGTTTTTGTGCGCGTTGGGTGTCTTGGCCGTCGGATTGTTCCGCGTGCTTGAAGGGTGTTCTTTTGTCGTGGGTCCGGCCGAGCAGGCGGCCGTGGCGCCCGCCGAGGGCGCCGGGCCTGCGGCCTCGAACGCTTTCGCGCCGGCCCCTCAAGTCGTGTACTTGCCAGGGGATGCTTTAGCGGGTGAACTTGCCAGTCTGAGGAGGGAAAGAAACACGCAGACACAATTAATCGTCGATTCCCAGGAGAATTTCGGAGACTATGGGAATTGGGCGGGAAGACAAAAACCCAGAACATATGTGAAAATACGGGGGCTCTTTTTATTTGTGTGTATTTATTTGTGTGTCCCAGGGCCCCTTTCACAGTCTTGCTCCAGTCGCGTGCCAATGTGGGTCGGTGAACTTGTAAGTGATGGGGTCGTATACCAGTCGGGGGCAGCGTCAACTGGGCGATAACGCTCGTGATCGCCCCCGCCCCCCCCCCCGATCGCGTCACGCCGTTATACCTACATGTTTCAAGGAATCTTTCAGGGTTTCCAGAACATTTCAAGGGTTTTCCAGGAATTCGTCGTCCTCGCTGTTGTCCGCGAGAGGCCGAAAAGGCGAGAATGAAGTCACAAAAACCTCGTTCGTCGAGCCTCGGACCTCGCTCTTCGGAGGGGGGGGCGGAAGAGCTCGCCCACGCGGCAAAAACGAAAATCTTCAGTCGCCGCCACCGCCGCCACCGCTGTCTTCCTCGCTCGTCGTCCCTGCTCATCCTGCTCGTGCTTTTGCTGCTGCTTTTCCTCCTCGATCCCCTCTTTCTCCTCTGCCCCCTCGCCCTTTTCCTTATACTCCTCCTCCCGAGGGCCCGGGGGCTAGAAAAAGGCCCCGGGAGGCCGAAACCCGCCGCGAAAAGGAACGCGCGGTGTCGCCATCGGGGGTCTATCACCAATCTGTCGCCAGTCGAGCGAGCGCCTGCGATCGTCGTGGTCGTGAGACTATCAAAGGCGTTGGGCTGAATCGGCGACTTCAGCTTCTGGCTTCAGACCTTGGCTGGCACGTCTCGCCTGCATGCGGGTGCCATCTCTTCGTCGTCGTCGTCGTCGTCCTGGTCATCTGGAGGAGGGCAGATGGCGGCATGAGCCTGAGCTCTTGGCGCTCCGCGCCGGTCTCTCCGATCGGACGCTGGAATCCCCAGGGCGGCCGTTCCAAGCAATCCGCGCCGGCTTCGCGTCCCGAGCAGCCTCCTGACGGCCCCCAGGGCCCCGCGAGGCCCCCGAAAACGTCGAAAGCCATCCTCGGGGGCGTCAAAGAGGGGGGTGATGACTAGGGGGGGATGGATATCATGGCGTGGGCCATGCTGTTTCTCCAGATGTCATGGCGCCTCTTCTTATTTCATGACGTCCCTGGTCCCCCCGCTGGGCCGCGCACGTGCCGCCGGTCATGATTTGCACCCCCCCTCTTGGACACCCCCCTCTTGGCCCTACCTCGGGCCTCCGGCGGCCGTTCGGGCCGACTCGGGCACCCCAGAATCTCCTTCGGCGAGACGCGGCGGGAAGACCTGCAAGAAGGACGAGTGGAAGCTCCCAGAAGACTTCCCGCAGGTCCTCGCCCCTCGTCGCCAGACATCCGACCCTTGATCTGTTCCATACCATCGGGGAGCAATCAACGGCACAAACAACAAATCTCGGAGGCCCGCGCTGATTTCTCGGATCGGCGCTAGAACCCCCTGACGGCGCCTCCGGCGCCGTCCCTGGCGCGTTCCGCGCTCCAGGGAGGGGGGTCCAACGCCGCTCCGAGGAATCCGCGTGGACCTCCGAGTTCTTATGTTTACGCCATTGTCTGTTTCCCTCTATCATTCGGGCCAGACGAAATGGGGGGATTGGGAAAGGGTGGGTTACGAAATTTGCTGCATGCAGCTGGTTTCGGCCCCACGGAGGGCCCATTCCTCGATGCATAGCCGCCTCCGGCGCTGGGGGGCGCCGGGAGAATCAGCTACGTGAGCTGATTCTCAGCCCCCCCCCTTTGCTATCCCCCCCTTCGCCCAGCCCGAATCATGCGGTCCCCGAGAGACCCGACCCCTTCTCCCCAGGGCCCGCTCTTCGCCCCGAGCCGTCTATTGGTTGCCCAGGGGCACGGCGAGACCCCCAGGGACCGAGAAGATGTGAAAAGCCTCCGCCGTGTGTCTTGTCGAGATGCTGAATCCCCGAGTGTCCCAGATTTCCCCCCCCCTCCCCCTCCTCCTCCTCTTCCTCTTCCCCCTCCTCCTCCTCCTCCTCCTCCTCCTCCTCCTCCTCCTCGTCCTCCTCTTCCTCCTCGTCCTCTTCCTCCTCCTCCTCCTTGTTCCTTCTCCTCCTCCTTCTCCTCCCTCGCCCTCCGCGGTGGCGCCGACCCAGGAGCGTGTCGCCGATTTCGACCCCCGGCGTGTTCCCGTGGCAGCAGCAGGCGGCGCAGCAGAAGCCGCCGAAGAAGAAGAGGAAGGCGGACGCCTCCCCAGGATCGGGCGACGGTACACACATATACACGTTCGCCAATTTAGGCCCATCCTGGGTCTAGGATCGGTGCATGCGCCTCACGCCTCCCTGGCCAAGCCGTGAGGGCGCATGCACTGATCTCGGGCCCAGGATGTTCCAAGCCAGGTTCGGTGCCTGTGCATGCCTCTCTCTCTTCATCCAGGAGGGAGCCCCCCGTCCCCGCCGCCCCTCCCCAGAGAAGTGGCGGGGTCTCGTGGGGTCTCGTGAGGTCAGAGGAGGTGGAGGGAGGAGGCAGGAGGGGGTATGTGTCGCAAGTGTTCGGAGCTTCTCGTGGGTTCTGGGAGCGTGGTCTCGCCTCGTGGCACTCCAGCAGCTGCGCCTTGCGCCTGGCCGAGAGCGTTCCGGGGGGGCCCAGCTCGTCCCAGACTCTGCCGCAGGAGGCCCGAGCTGTGGTCCGAAGACCCAGAGATGCAGGTGCCTGACAAATCGAGGCGCAGGTGTTTCCACAGTTCTCGGCCTCCAGGGGCCCTCGCTGGCCCCCAGGAGCGTCAAAGGACGTCTCGGCACGAATCAGGAGGTCCCCGGGGAACTATAGGAGAATATGGATAATGGGGGGGACGACGAAAACCTAGAAACTGCCCGGAAGCATGAGGACACCTAGGATCTCTGTGTATATTTAGGGATCTGTGTCTATGTGTATATATATAGGTTTTTGAGTATGTATGTATGTATGTATGTATGCATGCATACATGCATGCATGTATGTATGCATGCATGCATGAATGCATGCATGCATGTATGTATGCATGTATGTATGCATGTATGTATGCATGCATGTATGCATGCATGTATGTATGTATGTATGTTTGTATGTTTGTATGTTTGTATGTTTGTATGTTTGTATGTAATGTATGTATGTATGTATGTATGTATGTATGTATGTATGTATGTATGTATGTATGTATGTATGTATGTATGTATGTATGTATGTATGTATGTATGTATGCATGTATGTATGTATGTATGTATGTATGTATGTATGTATATATGTATGCATGTATGTATGTAATGTGCGTATGTATGTATGTATGTATGTATGTATGTATGTATGTATGTATGTACGTATGTATGCATGCATGCATGCATGCATGCATGCATGCATGCATGCATGCATGCATGCATGTATATATATATATATGTATATTTGTGCGTCCCCGGGCCTCTTGAATGAAGAGTTGGCCCTGGGGAAAGAAAGGGTCAGGACTTCGGGGACCGCGCAGGGGCCGCGCCACTGCTTCAGGCGCTCGTGCGGCCGAGCGACGGGGGCGGGGTAGCTGCGGGCCCGGCGCGCGCTGGACCGCTCACGACAAGAACACCCCCAACTCGAAATGACCAAAGCACGGGCCCCTGTTTAGATTTGTTCGTGCTGTTGTTGCGTTTCGTGGTTCGTTGTTGTTTTAAACGCCCCGTTTCGTCTTTCCTGTTCTTTTCGGCACCGGCCTCGTTTTTTTCCATTCGTTTCAAATGTCGGGCCTCGTTTCGTTGTTCGTTGGAAGCGTAACTTCGTTTTAAGCATCGTTGTTGTCGGCCCCTGAGCCAAAGGGACACTCCAACCGTGGCGGGCCAACTTCGGGGTAAGGCGCAACTTCGGGGTGAGGCCAAAGAAAGCTGAAGGGGGGACTTCAGGAAATGCATGAAGGAGGCCTCCGGGGAAGGCTTTCGGGCACGCCTGGGCGAACCCTAGGGTTATTGGTAGCACTCAGAGGACAACCTAGGTTAGCCTTCGGGAAGCGCTGGGGAGGTAAACCTAGAGAAGACTCAGTGGAATAACCAAAAGGCAAACCGAAACTAACCATGAAGACGAGTTTTCGGCAAGCCTGTGGAAGGCCGACGTTCGAAGTTTGAGTGGGCCCTGCCCTAAGCTACCTTAGGCCGAGGATCAGAATTACGACTCAGATCGAACAACTTACCCAAACCAGCCAAAGAGGCTCCCAAGACTGCTCCGCGACGGACCTAACGAGAACCCCAGGACCTCCAAAAACAGATCTTACAGGAACCCCGAGAAAACGCTGACAGGACTCGGACAGAACCCCCGAAGGCTTCCACAACACCAATGCAACGCCAACGCTTTCGAAGACGCCCCAAAATGGCCCAAGACGCGCCCAGCGATATCTGGACACCCATCCGATAGGAATACCTTCCACGCGGGGCCCTTTCGAACAGCTTGATTTCTCATCAGAAAATAGCCCCCTTGCCATGGGCCCAGGGGCCAAGACCCTTCCCGGGCCTCCAGAACCGTTGCAGGAAGCACCCCGCCGACGAGTGCCCGTCCAGTTTCGTGGTCTATGCCGCGGAACGCCCGGCGCGCAGTGTCGAGCTCATTGGGTCACGCTCGCGCAACGTGCATCGCCCTCATCTCCCATTTCAAATTCAGCCCTCGTCCTTCTCCTCGACCTCATGCACCTGCACTCCCTTCTTGTCGACCTCGCCTCCATCGTAGCCATCGCACCTCTTCTGCTCATCGTCGACGTCGTCGTCATTCCCACTGCGCTCTTTCTGGCCTCCGCACCTACGACTATGATCGTGTTGGCTCTTCTGAAAGCTTGCCTACCTCAACACTTGATGCCGTCGCCTTGTTCGCACAAGCGTTCCAATTCTGACGTCCCCATGTGTAGCTTCACCTGCAACGAGCGTTCGAACATTCGCTTCCCGTTCTTGCCAGGTCAGGTTTGCGATGAAAAAGACCTTGCCGTACGCTCTCGGCTAAGAGCGGCTGGGGTCCAGCCAAGCCTGCGCTGTGTGTTGTCGTTGAAGATGTCGACAAACCAACAACTCCTTTCCTCTTGATCGCCGCGATGTGTGTGCACGGGCGTGCTGGAGTCCCAAGCGTGGCATTCTAGGCGCGAGTGCCTGGGACACCGTGTACCATGTGGCAGCAGCAGGGTTTTTATTTGTGCGCGCAGGATGCGGTCCAAATCGCATCGATGCAGTAATATAACAGCCTGCCGCCTCATCCAACATTCCAAGGATAAATGTTTGGCCTGGTGAATGCAGTGACTCGAGAAAAACGAAGTCCTAGCAGAACCACGCATGTGCACAGTCCAAAGTGAATGTAGGGCGTAGGGAATCGCAGCTCTCAGAAATGTAGGTGCGTTGGCAGATGCCGCGGCTTGGAAGAAACGGCGCAGGCCAAGACAGCAACCAGCGCATCCGCAGCCATTTCAGGAAAAGGGCGGTGCTGCAGACAGGGGCACAAACATCGCCGTGCAAATATACAAGACCAGAACGTTTTTCGTGTTTCCCCCCTCGGCTTTGATTCGTTTTTCGGGAGACCTCGCATCGCGAAATTTCTTTCGGGGCCTTCGTTGTTGCGGGCGACGGCACTCACGGGCCACGTTTCGTGGCGCCGTCCTTCTCTCTTCCGCTCTACTTCGTTTTTGTCGCTGATGGTAATCTTCACTCCTGGCCAAGGCTGCGGGTAACATCATTGACGAAACACATCTCGTAAACAATACAGGCGATCGTTCTTATATTAATTGTTATCGCCCTCTCCCCCCTCCCCCCTTGGAGTGGATCTTGGCTGTGTTTTGGCGCCTGTTTCGAGCAGGTGGAGCCTCACCCATGATGGACGCCCTAATGCAAACAGTCGCGTTAAGCAGAGGCCTGGAGCCAGACCTCTCCCCTCCCCCTCTTCCGCCCAATGTCGAAACGCCGAATAGAAAAACGTACGTCCACCACCGGATCAGAGCATATCAGACAGGCCTGTACCCAGCCGACCCGACATGTTGTGGTATCACTGCTGCGTCCCGTCCCGGCCAGAGGGCGGGCTCGCCCAGGAGTTCACGCCGCTGGCGGCCGCAGTTCCGACCCGCTGCCGCCGGTGGTCGTGATGAGCCGTCCCACGAGCGTCAGCGCCATTCGGCGGCGAGCGGTGGAGGAAGTTGAGAAGGGGTGGGCCTTCTCAGAAGGCTTGGACGTCCCCCGGCTTCCGAGAAGGGTGCTACGCTTGACGCAAAACCTCTCAGAAGGCCGGATGGCTTCTGAGAAGTCCCGCCACCTTGTGATCGACTGCGCTTACGAGTGACCCTTCGCCAGAGCGACTTTTGGTGCGGGCTCATCGGGGTCCCCCCGATCGCTGCGCGCGCTGCGATAGGCTGCTTACGCGCTTGGATTTAGCCCCCTTGCGCCCACGTAGTCCGCGCATTTCAGGTCACTCTGAGGTCACTCCTTCTCCTTCCGCTTCTCCTTCTCACTCCACCTCCTCGCTCGCGGCCGAGGGGCGATGACCGCCGCACAGCCCCACGCAGCTTCTCACCATCCCAGCGACCGGAGAAAACGGGGCGGCTGCGGTCGGGGCTCAAGAGACGGGGGTCAATGCGAACGGGGGTGAGCCAGAGCGCGGATCTTGCAGGTTCCTGCAGGGCCAGGGTTGCATTGACCCGGGTTTGGGTGCAGGATCCCGCAGGATCCTGCAGGGTCTTGCAGGATTTTGCGAGGCCTGACGGATAACTAGATCGCCGATGCGCGGACATTCGCGCATAAGCTTCCCACCGCAGGTCGGGCGTAAGCGCCGTCGTCTCCACGCGGTGTGTCACATTGGCGGCCCGCGTATGCCACCGCGTAAGGTCGCTACATCGTTGTCTTTTCGTCGTTCATTGGAGCACATGCGTAAGACCCGTGTCTTTTCGTCGTTCATTGTTCATCGTTGTCTTTTCGTCGTTCATTGTCTTTTTCGTCGTAAGACCCGTGTCTTTTCGTTGTTCATTGGAGCATGTGCGAACACCAGCACTGCGGCCAGGAGTAGGTCGGCCATGCTCTCACGCGGCGCCTCCTTCCATGGCCAGCACCGTGGTGCACTGCCAGCTCCATCTGGTACCATCCGGAGAGAAGCCACGGACCTATTCAGCACCCAGGCCGCTCCTTTGCATTTCCTGACGCACAGAAAGACGATCCGAGGGGGGAGCGTACGACACGCCTGGATAGAACAGGGGTAGCACCCGGGGAGGAGAGCTCTCCAGCCATATCTCGGGTTTCCGGCGGCCATTCAGGACGATTTGCACATCCCTGGAAACGTCTCGGCGAGGCATCCCGACGCTGGAACACCGCCGAGAGTTGACGAGAGCGTCCGAAAACTCCGAACTTCGTGGGGTCCCGAGCTCGAGAACGTTGCCGCAGCGCTGGAGGAGGAGGAGAGCGTTTTTGTTTTCATCTGGCGGGTAACGCTTGCTGCCCGGGCCCAACCCCCCCCCAGCCCTCCCTCGGGTAACGCTGTCGATCGTACGTTTTTGTTGGGGGAGAGGGCGGACCCCCCTCCTCTCGGCAGGCTTGGCAATTGATGTGCCGACGGCGCGGACGCACCCTGGCGGGTGCACACCGCGGCCGCCGTTACTTACCCGCTAATTGCCGTTACCCGCCGGCCCAACCCACCCACCCTTGGGTAACAGCCGTTACCCAAAATTATAAGAATTCGCGGAGGTCTTTCAAATATTTCAAACGAATGTGCGCAGCGCTACGGCGAGAGCCACATTTTGAAAAGGCACCGCCCTGAATCTGTGAAGCGGTTGCAAGTTTGTATGACGAATGTGCGCGGTTTTGAGGCGAGAGCCACAGTTTGAAAACCACCCGCCCTCCATCTGTGAAGCTCTTGCAACATTTAAGATGAGTGTACGCGGCGCTCAGGCGAGAGCCACATTTTCAAAAACACCCGCCCTCCAGTCGCGCAGTTCTTGCAAATGTTTAAGACGAATGTGCGCGGCGCTAAGGCGAGAGCCACATTTTGAAAACGACCTGCCCTCAATCCGTGAAGCTGTTGCCAATTTGTGAGCTTCGGGATCTTAAACTGCAGTGGAGTCTGAGGCGAAACGCCTGGGCCGCCCTTCTGACTGGCCTCGGGGTGCGACAGGGGGGAGTTATTTGCAAGGAGAGGGAGTGGAGGAGAAATGAGAAGGGAGAGGAGGGAGGAGAGAGGAAAGAGGGGGAAGGAGGGATGATGATGATGATGATGATGATGATGATGATGATGATGATGATGATGATGATGATGATGATGATGATGATGATGATTTTGAGGAGGAGGAGGAGGAGGGACCAGTGTAAACCCACGACTCATCAACGAGATTGCAATCAACCTTCCAAGCTCCCTCTTCATAGCCCCATACACGGGGATCTACTTCCACTGCAGGAAATGTCCCGTTCGTATATCCTGATTTGTGCCAGAACGCCGTCTCTGGGAATTGGATCGCCACGAATCTCTGTTGCTGTTGCGTCTTGGCAGATCCTGAGTCTGCCAGAACACCATTCATCGAACATCAGAACCACGAGTCAACATAATTGTCGCTACCTGACAATCCGACATCGGGCCAAAACACCATTTCTGGATCGTCACCCATGAGAAGTCTCCAAACTCTTGTAAATTCGTACCACGAAAAGGCTGGCGCTAAGGCGAGAGCCACATGTTGGAAAGGAAACGCCCTCCATCCATCCGTGAAATTCCTGCAATGTGGTGTGACGAATGTGCACGGAGATGAGGCGAGCGCCATATGTTAAAAACCATCTGGCCCCCATGTGTGAAGCTCTTGCAAGTTTTAAGATGGATGTGCGCGGCGCTATTGCGAGTGCCATATTTTGGAAACGAACGTTCCCCAACATGTGTCAATCTTGCAATTTGGTTGATGAGTTGCGCGGCGCTAAGCCGAGATCTACATATAGAACATAACTTGTCCTCAGGACATGACCTTCTTGCATGTTTTGCCAGGGATGAGCGTTGTTCGAATGTTTGAGCCACATGTTGAAAGCGACCCGCCCTCCATCCGCGAAGCCGTTGAAGTAAATTGCAGGGTCACATACGATAAACAAGTCTCAGGTGAAACGCTCGGCCCGCCCTTTCCACTGGCCTCGGGGTGCGACAGGGAGGAGTTATTCAAAAGGAGAAGGACTTGAAGCAGGGTGGAGGAGGGAGGAGGGAGAGGAGGGAAGAGGGAGGAGGGAGGACAAAGAGGAATGAGGAAGGAGGAAGAGGAAGAGGAAGGAGGGAGGAGAGATGAGGGAGGGGGGAGGAGGGAGGAAAGAGGAGGGAGGAGGGACGAGGGATGGGGGAGGGAGGAGGGAGGGGGAGGAGGGAGGAGAGGGACGAGCAGGAGGAGGAGGAGAAGGTGGAGGAGGAGGAGGAGAAGTTGGAGGGAGGAAGGAGGAGGGGGAGAAAGTGGATCTTGGCTGGCTTGTTCAGCCGAGCCGCCAACCCGCGGCCGCGGGCCAGGAGCCGAGAAGCGCCGACGCAGGAGGCGCGTGGCGCGC